ATAATAATTAACAAACGAGATATCCGGAATAGGATGTTGGACAACTTTTATAGTGAAAACATCTACATGAGCCCTATAGGACATTCTTACTTTTTGAGAAATTCTTCATTTTATCTGGACGTCTGCTCATCTAATCCCTCGCGAAGACCATTTAAACAAAAATCTTTATCATGAACATTCTTTTTCCTTTTATTTTCCCGCTCAGTTCAAACGTTCATGATACTCTTAACTAAGATAACTGTGATATAACCTTATATATGTCGATTGCATCGACATATATATGTAACTTTTAACTAGCACATGTATTTTACTAGCAAGATTACCATGTTTATTTATATATCGATTGCGTAAATATGTTATTTTATCTAACACATGTATTTTACTAACAAGAGGACCATGTGGAAGATTAGCCTTTGGCTAAACATGTATTTTATCCTCAATAGATAAAGTTTATTATTACGTTCAGACGACCTGGCGTCTGCTCATCAAGTCTCGGGCGGCCATTTAAAAAAAAAGACTAATCAACAGATAAGAATAATCTATTTTATTTTAGGACCGGATCAGTACGGTTTGTTTAGTGGTTACTCCCATAACCTACAAAACGACGTCGCGTAAGTGTAAAATTTTGAACGATTGGAAACCGTGGACTCTACTGACGGAATGTAGCAGCCGTCAGTGGTCAAAAGAGCGTTTTTTGATCAATAAGTTACCAGGTTATTAATATACGTGAGGTATGTGTTGTGTTACAGCATAATTTTGTTGTCAGCACCTTAAAACTTCAGCACTTCTAAACGGTGACGGGGAATTCACACGTTTTCATACAGTAGTTCACTCTGCCCTACACCAAACATCTGACTATCTCTACAATATCCTAAATCTGGTGTCAGGGCCAGAGGAAACTTACTTTTTATCTATATATCAGCCACGACACATTGCCTTTTCTTTGATTCGTAATTGGTACTGTTCAAAACTAGGCTTTAAAATGACTTACTGTTTCATCATGAAGTTAATCCAAAATGTCTATGCATGTTTACATACATTTGGACACAGTGAAACAATGTTAATGTACAATACACTGTCTGTGGATACAACATATTTCCACTTAAGGTATAAGCTCTTCAGGTTTCCTTTAAAAATGCTAAAGATATTTAGTACTGCTAAGAATATAGGACTAACATGTAACATTATTACTTTTTTGGTATTGTAAAAGTGTTTAAGTTCATTTGAAAATATCCATAAATTTACATTGTTATTTTTTCTTTTCTAAAATAAAGTTTCATTTTACCTGTCACAGCATGACACATATTTTCAATTTACAATAAATATAGATCTAATATGTAATATTAATAGCTTTCTGGTATTGTTCTATAAGTTAAATTAATTTGAAAATCACCATACATAGTAATTTATTCCTACCTTAATAGATTAATTTTCCCTGTCCCTACAAGACACCTATTTGTGATGAAAAAACATTTGATTATTATAAACTTACCACAAACACTTTTAAGCACTTTTTTCTTTGGCTGGTGTAAGCGAAAGGTAGCTGGTTTCATATTTTAAGCACATGTTGTTTTTCGCAGGTGTGAAGATTTGACTGTATCAAAAGTTAAGATCTCAATATTGTACTAGAATATATACCGAATATGAAGAACCGATCATAGCAGAATGAGAAATATTGGCGACATTTGGCTGTTTGAAACCTAAGCGAAATAATTTGGGCGATCTAACTCTAGATATTAGCTCCCCTAACCTCCCCCATTTACAGTACCATAGCTGCTCGTGTATTATTATTATCTTTGTTTCCTCCTTTAAGAAGATTTTACAAACAGAATAATGTAGTTACAATGATAAATAAGATAATAAATGCAAAATCAAATAGATGGTAAGTCAAAATTAGTGCACAACATAGTTAGTTAACACAATATAGAAATAGGTGACAGTTTACAAAAGAATGCATAATTAATAATGTTAAGAATGATATACACAAAAGTATTGAATAGTCATTCGAAGTATGCATTAAGCATTTTTGAAATATGATTGACTAACGCCATACGAAATTCTGTTAACTCTAATGTATTCAGTTCATACGTTATATTGCCACCAATCAGTAGGTGAAATAATTCAAAGTCTGAATGAGAGTGTAAATATACGCTAAACATAAGTTCACATGTATTAATGACTTGACACCATAACTGATCTCGTAAGTCTTCTGTACAATCACATTGTAAAATTATGTGGGTTTATATATCGTTATACATTTGTCCACATTTATGACATAATTCATTTTTTTCTGAATGTCTTAGAGATGCAATCAATTTCATTACACTATGTATGGCTTCTCTGTTTTGAGGAAATTCTATTAACAATTTCCACAATATATGAGGAGCAAAATTATCATGAACAAATATAAATCTGCAGAGATCGCTGTCACCACTCATTCTCTCCTTCCATGCTTTTTCTTCATATAACTGTACATTATGCTTTACTTTCGCTTTCCATATACTTTTCACTAGAAATATTCCATTTGATAAACATACTTGTACTAATTTGTATAAATCATATTTCTTTAGAACTCTAATTACTTCATTCATAAATCCATTAGTATACACATTGGTCGCTATAACTGCCATAAAAGGACGAGTAAAAAACACAAGATAAGATATACAATTTTTCTCCAAGTTACATAATCTTCCAAACAATAATAATTTCTTGGTATCTTTGAATGCTTCTAACCTTAACCACTCTAGAAGGCATGTGCACATATCTGTATGGGTTCTTGTATGGAACCCTTGAATTGACTTTAAAATGAAACGTTGTGTTCTTTCTAACATTACAATTTCGGTTTTTGGAAGACACCATAATTCACACCCATATAGGGCTGAAGCATATACTTTTGATTTAAGTATTTTACTAATCGTTAAAGGATTAATTGCACATGGATGAGCACCACTCATAAGCTTATTACATGCGCGTACTGTACGTTCCATACTATTAAAATTATAGTTCAACATCACACCAACATGTGTTATATCCTAAACTTCTGGAAGAAGATGCCCATATAGATATAATTTTCATACTAAGATTTCGCTCCTTTTTTCTAGAGAAATACACTATTTTACTTATAACTGCAGAAAATGTGAAACGCCACTTTCTGCTATACGCTTCGCACATCTCAAGCATGTATTGTAAGCTTTTACGCTGTGTACTAACCAGACATATATCATCTGTTTGTGTTGGTATATTAATTCTTAAATCGGCAATAAGTGCACCCTTCCCACATTTTTCAAAACTGTCTAATAAACTGTTTATGAATACAAGATACATTTTGGCAGACAACACACTCCCCTGTAAAATCCCCCTCTCCATACGGATCCTTCATGAATTTAAACCATTTAATATAACACTACTTTTTATATCTGTGTATATTGATTTCAAAATATGCAATGTCTTTAAAGTGATAACGATCTCATTTAGCTTATACAACAAACCATCATGCCATACGGTATCAAATGTCTTGTCACTATCTAAAAAGGCTACATAAACATCTTCTTCTCTTTCTAAATTATATTGTATACATTCTTGCAGATAAAATGCAGTTAACAAAATGCATAGTCCTTTTTGATATGCTGATTGTTGCCTACTCGGAAAGTTATTACAATTAAGAACTGAATCTTATCTTTTAGCTAAAATTATTTCAAAAAAAATAAAATGACTGGTAACAGAGTAATTCCCCTATAACTATTAGGGTCATCTTTAGGTTTGCGTTTCCTTTGTGCAAAGTAATTATTGTTCCAATGGCATCAACGTTTTTAGGAAGATCATTGGCGGTGTCTCGCATCCTAAAACAAGGTCACAGTGACCTTCGTTGGATTGGTATGCTTAATGTTTCAATATTTGGAGATTGTTGAAATCTCAACCTTATGATCATATAATATACCAATTTTATCATTCATGTACCAGTCAATTGGATCTTCATTTCTGGTTTCCAGTTTAAAGCATGGAAACGGTTGCAATCATAAATCTTTGCTGGATATGAAAAGACATTAAAAACAATCGTGAAACTACGGTTGCTTGTGGGCCTGCTGATCCATTGGGATATATAGCGTGTTACAAGTAGAGATACTAATGCTATACAATACAATTGCTGGGGGGAAAAGGTGTTACATTTATACTACCCTAATGGTACCAGGGTTAAGCCCCTGAACCTAGGGATTTAGTACAGCATCCTAAGATTTAAATAGTTTTCAGATTCCATCCCTACAAACTATACATGGCCATACTCCAGTCCTTTAAATGGGGGCGTTATTATTTAAACACTTTTTTCCTGACAATTCTAAACATTTCCAATGCACTTGGAACTAAATATATATTTGATGACAATATGCCATAATTAACAAAAGAAAACATCGATTTGTCTGCCTATTGTCTCTACATTAAATTGATTTGTTACATTTTTTGCCAGTGAAATATCGGATTCTATCAACCTGATTAAACTGATATTTTTTACACTGTGACAAATATCAAAAGTGATATTTTCACAATGTGAAAATATCATTTTTTGGTATTTGACCAATCATAACGGTATCTTTTAAATCTTTTAATCGATGCATATAAAGGCAACGATTATTTGTTCGGATTCAAATGAAGCGACGGTAGAATAAATGGCTGTTATGGTAAATGTTTGCTGCGCACTCGTGAAAAATATTAAAATCTTAGCCAAACTCATGAAATGTATTTGTTATTACTGAAGACACCATTAAATATCCTCTATGTATTCACTTGGTTTAGTCACTTGGTTGCTGTTGCCCACACGGAGAAAATTAAATAGTATGTGTTGGTTAGCTCGATGACATAATTATTATAAGTATAATAACATTTTTGTAATTAACATATAAACACACATATATGCCCTTAAGGCCTTTCTGCCTTCATGGGCGTATTTAAACGGACATTATATGTTCCTTTGATAAAATCACAACATTCATTATTAAATAACTTACCTTTAAGCAGTGGACATATATTCCAGACAACCATTGGACTTTTTCCAGAGAACTGACCCAAAAGCAGCTCGAGATAATATAGAGGAAATCCACACGTCACCATGAAAAATGTGAACGGAATAAGGAAGGCTCCTGTAAGTACAATAAATAACAAAAATACAAAACAAAAAGGTTTAAAACAAATTCTTTAAAAGAAGTTTAATAAGGGAGGCCATGGTAATGAAGTTATGATTCCTCCTTTTCACGCCCCTCCCCGAGCCCTCCCCGAGCCCTCCCCTTTGTAACGCTTTGACTTTCTATCACGCTGTTGCAGCTTGTTATGTTTGTCCATGTTCTGTATTTATACAAACGGCCCATGTTTGGTATATACTTGTCTTGATAACTAGAAAAATAGAAAAGGATAATGAAAGGTACGAGTGTTTTACAATTTGCTTCTGTCTTTTTGCAAAAACAAAACAAAATTTGATGACACATATATATTGAATTTTGAGCAGTTACTGAACAGACTTGTTTTTGAATATGTGACATATCCTAATGCTTTTGTCCTATGTTCCGACATATATTGAACTTGTGTACAATATGATCTCGATAAAGTGCCAAAAGTGGTATTTGCCTATTTGCTTGTCGCTTACAAATCCCCATGTCAAATAATTTCCTTTGCCCTATTTGTCTATCTCAGCGTATCGTCAAAACCCTTTAATGGGCCTTTCTCATGATAAAGCAGAAATATGCCAATAATTTACACACCTCCACCGTTTTTCATACACAAATAGGGAAATCTCCATAAGCTTCCCAGTCCAACCGTGTAACCTATTAGGGAGAACAGGTACTCGATCTTCCGTGACCACACGTCACGCTGAGGAAGGGCCTCAACGTTTGGCGATTTCTGCTTATCATCGTTTAATAGACTGAACTGCACTTCCTCGTGTGATTCTCGCAGCATGGTTTCGGCCGTTGTATCAGACCTACAATAGGATTACCAAAACATACTTAATGCTTTATAAAGACTAATAAGTTTAAACTTATCCAAGCGTGAAACAAATATCAAGTAAAAATTGTTGATATTTTTGATATGAAAATGATATAGCAACAGCTGGGCTCTATTAACGGGCAAACAATCAAAACCGTGGCGACATGTGCTTAGAACTCGATTTCAAAGCATAAAATATAAGTGATATTTCATTTACAAAAAAACAGTGTTTCGAATGCCAAATAATTAAAATAATTTGAAGGGAAAAATAGTCTTGATCCACAAATCAAATTATAATTTCTGTTTTGAACTATTCTTCAATAAATATTGTATGAAAGCTTAGATTGCACTTAGAAGCATATAACATCAATGTTTGCAGGTCTTTGATGGTCAGGTTTCATGGTGGATAACGAACCAGCTCTTAACGTAAATATGTGGGTCATGTCAATAATTGCAAGAAGAAATTTCGAACACAGTTTATGTTGGCTCATAGTTTGTTTGAAATTAGTATATCATCATTATTTACAACCAAGCATACCTAATTTCGAAACAGAGTAAAATTTAATAAGCGATTTTGTATGCCTAATCCAATTCATTCTAATTAAGACATTCCTTGTTCAGGAACAAGAAAGTTTCTCCTTGAAATAAAAAGCATGAAATAGAAGCCGTATTGTTCGATTTGGTTTATGCAGTTAGATATTCTTGGTCTAATTCCGTGTGACCATACAACACACCAAATATAGCGTGCACACATCGTGCATACATCGGTGATACAGCGTAACCGTCATGTAAACAAACTTTGGCGTGGTTTGTAATTACGTGTGTGTCGGTGTATAGCTTCTCTGTATCAGGTAACTGACATTACACATCTTGGAGTGTCCCAGTAGACGGGAACGTATTATACCCGTGTAGTTTAGAAAAACCTGACAACACAATTTTTCAATTAAATAAACGTGTATACAGGCATAAATATAGAAACCTATAGATTTGGCAGATATCTACGACTGAAACACCCGCTATTTTTTTAAAAACTACCCGAACGTAGGAAACTAGGGTTGGCATCAATAATAATAATAATAATTCGAGGTTCTTATATACCGCTTTATCGCAACCTAGTTCGTAGGTCGTCTCAAAGCGGTTCACAAATTATTATCTGTGGTTATAGGGCATTTGCAACCAGCCAACATCTTTCTCAACACCCTGGGGAGCATACAGACGGAGCTGCCATTTCGGCGATAACAGCTAGAACTCAACAATTCTTACACTGCCCAACCACGTACTCATTTACAGCTTAGTAGACTTGAACAAGCGGAGTAAAGTATCTTGCTCAAAGATACAACACAGTGCCGTGCCGTGACTCAAAACCGCAACCCTTCGGTCACGAGCCCGGTGTTATACCACTAGACTACCGTGCCTCCGTGTCAAGAAAGAAATGAAACAAATCCACCACAGGGCTAAGGTCAGACACTTGAAGAGAAAAGACGGCGATGTGCAAAAAGCTTATAAAAAGGAATAAAGCAGTATATGGCTTATTTTAATCTCAAATCAACTTTTCAAAACAAACAAGTGAACAACCACCCAACCCTGTTATTGGGTTAATGTGAGAAGAATAACTTGAAACTAAATCACTTTCTTGATTTAATGTGAGGAGAAATCCAAACATATCAAACATGGATACGAGATTATAAAAAATAATTTACGAAGAAAGAGCAGCAAGTTAACACTGGAAAAATCGCTAAAACGGCGTCGTCAAAAACGGGTAGCTTATCCGATGCTGCGAGTTAGGCCTAGCAAATCCTCTGCCTTTTGAATTGTGTTACCAAATCTCAGGACAACTAAATATTGTCTTAAAGGTTGTGGGATGATTTCGACTTCGTCAATGGAAAACGGAAGTGATACCGAAGTTAAAAGGATTTAGTTTTCTACCATTTAAACGAAATAATGTTCACCGCCATGAATGCAATGCCAAACTATGTGTTTTGTGTTGTCAGGTCCTTGTTTTGAAGAGGTATAATTGACACTTTCCGAACAAGACGCATCTAATTATTCAATATTAATGTAAAACCAAATACTGGTGTGGCATGTTTTACGGGGGGAGATAAGTCCCATCAATGATTATTGAAGGTACACACATATGTCGGCATAAATCACTGAAATCCAACTATTTCAAATAGTTTTCACAATATTGCTTCGTTAAGTATTTGTACATTCTAGTAACGCTATTAAATTATAAATAGACAAAATGGCTGTATGGTGTAGTCTCTCTTGATGTTTTTTTTTAACAACGTATGACTTATTTGTGAAATGACGTGTTTCGTTATCGTATTTCTAGGGACGTGTTAAGTGTATGGTACAGGGTGGTCGACTTCACTGGAGTCCTACATGTATCAGTCCCCGAAGGTGGCCCTAACTTCGCAGCTGAAAATTATTTTTACATGGTCAATGGAAGTGTATGAAATAAATGTTTAATACTAAAAATGAAGTTGTAACCGTTGATTTGTAACGTATTAAAGGGTGGTACAAACATGGCTCCACTTTTGACGGATTTCTGCATATGTTTCAACTTCAACTTTAATGACGTACTCGACAATACATTTTGAAGGAAATTAACTCAACACTTTTCAATTTTTAAAAAGCCTCTACAAGCAACAAACAAATAAATATTTGACATGCTTCGTCATATTAGTGTTTGTTCGGAGAAAGGAATTTTGTTTGTCACATGCGGAGGCTTTCATTTCTGCATACTAACTATCCCAAAACACCATGTATTAGCTATTTCTTCATAGCAACGCAATTTTGGTGTTAATATGCTATGCAAGCGCATTGGGAAAAATCTGCACCAGGCAAGATAGCCACAATTAATCAACATGATGATTTAACAGAAATTGGTTAATAAATTCGAGTTGAATTTTCTTTACTTTTTATGAGGCCAAAACTGACCCATAACGCCCAAAGTCCTTTGTAATAGTGGCTGACTTAATTAGAAATGTACACTATTTGGTTAAGTCTGTATGCCTGTTGTATATAGTTGCTCGTTGTTTTCCCCTTAACAAGTTACCGTTGCTTGTTTTTGTAATATATCATACTGCATATGTTGGAGTATATATATATATATATTTAATACTATCGCTGAAGATGTATCGCAATCACAACTTATCATCTTATGACGAAGCTTCATTATACAGTACAGTTTGTCTGTCGCACCATTCCAACGACAATGTAGGCTTATTTACAGGGCTTTATCTAATCAGTGTTAACTGCTGTTACCTTCCTATTATACAAAAATCGGAAATATTCTACACGTTGATATTCCATTTTTTAACATTAAATAAAACTAAGCTCCTCAGTTGTGTCCTTGCAACCGTTAGCCAGTCATGGAGCCAGTATATGTATATCAACGACAACAGAGTATTTTTCTGCTAGTACTAATCAACGTCCCGTAAACGTTGACCTCAACTTAAAGACATGCACATCAGAAGATTTAATCATATTTTTTGACCGTTATATTTTTTGTAAAACAAACGAATATGTATTTTAAAGTGGCAGGATCTTTCAACAGAAGTTCACGTTTTGATATCACACAGTTACATAGTTATAAAATCATGAAAGATACACTGTACATGTAACAAGCAATAATTCAGGGAGAACACTGATATACTCATAATTGTTTTATAAGATATAACCAAGTGAATAAATAGTGATCCGTGACTGTGCAATAGTGTGTATTATACTTACAATCAGACAGAAACTGCACCAAACTGTTAACACACCACGCAACATGTGTGAGCATGGTGCGTCAATTCTGGCAATGACGTTTTTTAAGGTTTTAGTATAACATATCAAATGTAACACAAAATGCTTTAATCAACGGACAGTATGATGTCAGTGCTATACATGCTAAATTATGCGTGTCATCTGCAAACAGGTCTCTTTCGTAATATTTGTTCTAATATCCTATTTCTAAAACCCCTCAACTCATCTGTATGTACGTCAGATGCAAATCTGTCTGATGACTGGCTTGATTTCCCTTAATCTCATGCAAATATCAAGCTTTGGCTTTTTATAAAAAAAAAATTGTCGATAGGACGATCGTGCTTACGGTTGGTAAATATATTTTATAACAGATACTGTAGTTCTTTCTGTCGCTCTGAAAGTGAACCATGCATAGCTAAGGACTAAGGAAAACCTACATATAAAAATTTGATAAACGTCCGTATAGTACTTCATGAGAAATGTCAAAAACAAGTAGTTATTAAAGACGGATGCTATGCGGACCATGGATAAAGGGCGATTTAAACTGCAAAACAGTTACTGATAGTTGGCTGAAATTTTATTTGACCAAATTGATACTATGACGAATTTTAAAGGTACGATACATAGCTAAGGACACACGAAAACTAGTTTTTTTTCCAAAACTGAGAACGTACTTAGTGACATAAGAATTATATAAGAATATAACTTTTGCTTGCTTGATATGTAATGTTGTTTTCCTTACCAAAATAGTCAATATCAGCTTTTAAAAGGAATCTTATGCTATTTAAATAACAATATCAACAAAAATCTTGGAATCCTCTCTTACCTTTCTGAAAAAATCAACATCAGATTTCAAAATGAAATTTTGCCAATAAAAATAATATAATCAACGAAAATCTTAAAAGCATAGCTAACCTTCGTCGAAAGCAGTATGACGCCAATGGGTCCGTTTCGACCTACAGTAAACGTGACCAAAGTGGATACATACAAAAACAAATCTATTTCGGTAAATTCGGATACGTAAACCAAGATCTAGTATAGTCTAATGTTGCCCATAACCAGCAGAAACAACTCTAGGATATCTGCGGTACATTAATGTGTACAGGACGTCATATTGGCACGAAGGATCGGAACGCCCATCATTGGAGACTTTTGTTAGACGTACAGTACAATAAGACAGATGTATAAGGACGGAATGACGGACGGGCGACAGACGATGGACGAAGGGTGATTAAAAACAAA